ACCAAAGTTCTTAAAGCGCCATTTGTTCAATTAAATACTATTGTCTTGTATTGCAAATTACAATGAATCGAAGATTTGAATTAGGGTCTCATTGGAAATGATTTGGAGATTCACTCGCGAAATTCCATTAAATTCATTTTAATTCAAGGTTTAAATGACTCTCATCATTTTTAGCCATGATTCAATTTTCCATTTTAAATTCAAAACTTCATTCATGGGGATAAATTTGAGACATGTATCATAATTGATTTGAGATTGCAAGGCAAGTGCCATAACCCCTTAATCCAAATGCAAGGTTCAATTTGGTGCGTTATTTCAAATTTATTCAAGAATGGATCAAGAATCCATTACAATTGTTGTACCCCAAAATTTGCCCTCCCATATTTCTCAAAACATTGCAAGAAAGATCTCTAAGTTGCTCAAGGTTGCTCAAGAGTTGGTCAGACAAGCTATCTCCTAAGGCAGTCTACCCCAAATTAGGGTTTTGTGTTGCATCAAGATCCTTGAGTCCAATTGACCTCAAGTGCTCCCCAATGTCCTAATATGTTCTCAAGATCATCCATGTCAAATTTCAAGCCTTGCAGAGGAAGTTTGCTCAGTCAATTGCTCAAAGGTCCAAAAATCAACTGTGCTAGGGCAAAAGTCAACTGTAACCTAAATACAGTCAAACTTCAAGATTTTTTGTCAACATTCTCATTTTTAAGGATATTTAATCATTTGATCAAGGTTTGATCATGATTCATCAAGGATTTCTCACAATTCATCAAGATTCAAAAGTTGCTAAATTAGGGTTTTGTAGGAAAAGTCAACTCAACTTTGACCAAGCATAACTTTCTCATACTTTATGAGAAATGACCCATCCAAATCTAATTTTGAATAGGATGAAATTAACTACAATACATCTTCATACCCCAAGATCAAAATATGCACTCACAAGAAGTTATGAATTTGGACATTATAGGTCATTTTGAAAAGTCAACAAACACACCTTTTTTGTAAAAGCTTCTAACTTGAGCATGGAATATCAAAATAAGACGAGACAAAAAGGGTTGATTAGAGGACATCTAAGGATTTCTAAAAAGTCATAGAACACCTCCAAAAGTTCAAAACTGAAGAAGTTATGCATTTTTGAAGTTGGACTTTTTTGCAAAATTGCCAAAAGTCAACTATCCCCAAAACTTCAAATTTTGCCAAATGGGCCCATTCTTTTGCACTTGATTTGAGTTTTCATTATTGACCACGTGCTCTAACCTTTCCCATGTGTACATATCTTATTTTTATTATTTAATTTGATTTTTATTTGAATTAATTCATTTTAAATCACATAAAATCACATAAAATCAAAGATATTGATAACCAAAGATTTTTTAATGATTTCAGGTTCCAATGGACAGCTAGTACCTCATCAAACTCGAATCAAAGCTTGTATGCACAAAAAGATCCAAATCAAGCCAATTTTGGAAGGTTTTAATGGAAGAATCAAATCAAATTCAAGAGCATTGATAGATCAAGCTTTGAACAACAAATGCTACCCTAATGTATTGTACATTACATAAGCAAGCGAAACACACAAGAATCATGGTTAGAGAGCAAGAGGAGAGGCAGAACGAAAGTTGCAAAAATCACAAAAAAGTGGGAGATCGAAATCAAGGTTAGAGGCGTTTTCAGGGCTTGGCAAGCATCACAATCGCTTCCTGACAACATCCACAAGCAAAACCAATCACAAGCAGTCATTTTCAAGCTTCCATACGCACTATAAGTCGTTCGTAACATGGCCCTGTTCTTGATTTCGTATCTCTGAAATTAGGCATTGTTATAATGAAATAATTGCATATTTGTAATCACCATGCCATTTGCAAGCTTTTGACATTAACCAATTGCATTTATCTGGCCTGTATGAAGATCCACCATAATTAGGGTTTTCTTGGAGTTTTTGGGGGTTTTCATTTCAGGTACAATTGATCTTCATGATGGACATGGTTGTGTTCAGAAGAAGATGATGAATCAAACCATGGTCCTGTAATTTATTTATATTGCCCGGGGACGATTTTAGGAGGAAGCTATGCTTTTAGCTGTGGATAAAAATCCACAGGTAAAATTTACAGGTTTTTTAGGAAAAGTATGATGCGTTGTCACCCTTCTGTTGGTCTGTTTGAAATTCGCACCAAAATCCCACTAAGGCAATTGTTTTCTTATATTATTATTATGTTGTATTTTGTTCACAAATGAAACAACGCATCCCAGCGGTCACCACGTTAGTATTAAGGCATTCAAAGGCTGGAGGTCAGGGGTTCGATCCCTGCCTCCAGCAATTTGCATATTTCCAATATTTTTCAGGAGGTCATGTACACGCATGGGCCAGATTCACACCATACTCCCTCACTCCTCAGAGAGCCAGATGGCCAGATGGCCAGATCTGGTGGTCAAGTTTCAGGGGCACACCATAAGCCAGTCAATGTGTATACGCTGGATCAAAAAAGTCAAATGGACCTTCAGCTAATGGGCCAACAAAATGCTTTCTGCACCTCAAAAATCCCAGGCCCACTCTCTCTTTTCTTTATATTTTGTTTATTTATTTAATTACTTTATTTTTATTTAAATAATTTACTAACCAATCACATATTTTCTTTTTTATCTAAAAATCACCAAAAATATTTTTTTATCCAATAAAATTTCAGAATTCTTTTTTATTAATAAATACTAATTAATTTAATTAGGACATTAATTAGGGAACTTTAATTTGTTTTTTTTAAATATTTAAAATTAATTAGAAATCATTAGGTTTTAATTCATTTAATTAATTTTGTTTTCTTTCTTAAAATATCAAAAACTCCAAAAAATATGTCATTAATTATTTTTCATTAATTAATTTATTTAATAATTAATTTAGTATTTAATTTTAGGATTAATTTCTTTTATTAAATAAAAACAACAAAAAAAACATTTTATTTAATCAAAAGGGTCAAAACCCTAATTTCGCCTCCGATTTAATTTCGCGTCGCGCTTTATATTCTTTAATTATTGATGTATCTGCTTCTGGTATGTAATAATTAATTAGGACATTTTATTTATTCTATCGCTTTATTTTATTTTCAAAGGGTTGCTTTTGCCGATGTAAATACCCGACGCCTTGTAATTTAATTTCCGCATTTTAATTTCACAAATTATATAACTGCTAGATGTTTGATATTAGGGTTTGCATGACAAGACTGAATGTTTAATCTTAAAATCAAACTAGATCACCATTAACATGTGCAAAGATAAAAATAACCAAAAACGACGCACTCGCACATGCGCACTCTTAGGGTACACCCCACTTGGTTGCCTTTGTACACGGTCATTGAGTATAGGTCCTTTTAGAGGTCGCCCTCTTTTCTAAAAGATCATAGTCGCCTCGAAATGGTTGCCTCGGATATTGTTGCCTCAAACAAATGATCTAAGACATTAGGGTTACCGCTAAGGCGTCCTAACATTGCTTTAGTGATAGTATGTCCCTCATTCGAATTGACCCTCAAACTCCAACGACGGTGCTACCTACTCATCAATAGTGGGATAGCATTGTCTAAAGGAAATTAGCATAGAACGATTCCTTTTTCGAGTAGGTAGATAGTTCTTAGATACTTGCTCATCCAAAACAAACTTTTTCTCACACTTACACTCCTTTTCAAACAAAGTATTCAAAAACACTTCATTACACTCTTGAGGACAGAAACAAGAGTTAAATCGAAGTTAAAAACCAAAACTTTTTTCAATCCCACAAGCATAAAGAAATCATTTTGAAAATGATGAGCAAGTACCTAAGAGCCTGTAGATAACTACGGATAGAAAGGGTGCTAATACCTTCCCTTTCTATAATCTACCCCCCGTACTCAGAAATATCTCGAAAAAGGAATTTTTCCGTGCTTTTTTCCTTTCCTTGTTGGATAAAATAAAAGTCGGTGGTGACTCTTGCTTACCGCGACATTTTGCGAAAACAAACGCAAAATGCAAACCAGCATTACAAAAAAAATAGTCAGTTCTTCCCACCGTATCACACCAATATCATTCAAGATTCATACAACCACACAAAATATAAACATTTTCACTCATGATTCAAAGTTAACAGCATTTTTTATCAAAGTGAGTTGTATTCAATAATCATTCAAGAGACTTCAAATTCATTCAGAGATTCAACCATCATGATTCATGACCTATTCAAGTATCAAGTTTCATTCAAAATTTCATGCATATGTGACATCCCAAGGAAAATTTCAAAAAGAAGAAGAAAAGATTCATTGCAATTTCTATCAAGTCCATTAAATTACAATTTCATTACATCATTCAAATCAAATTCATCCATACAACTACAAAAGAAATTTAAAGAATTACAAAAGAAATCGTAACTCTTATCCCAATCTTGGTACAAGTCTTCATGTCATTTGCTCAAACACTTTTTCACCAAATTGTCGCAATTCCAAACAAAATGATAATGCTGCTGCAAATTTCCAAAGAAGCTGCAGCCCTGCCCTAACCGATCTGGAAAAGCTGCAGCTACTGCTGTGTTGTTGTTGTCCAAAACCTATCATAAAACAACAAAAAAAAACATCTATATTTTTGTACATAAAATCTCAAAAACAGTATGAATGTTTTCCAAAGACACCCTGCATACCCTGCTAATCTGCCTCGGCAAAAACAGTCCAAATACAGTCCATAAGACTACAAAACAAAACCTACTGCAATATGAGAACGAGTGCTTATCCCTTGCTGTCCAAACCTGCACCATGCCAGTTTAATATTTGCACTAGTTTAGCAAAACAAAATTTGCATAAAAAAATCAATGAAATATGGTACTGCTTATGTTTAAATTTCCCTCCCAATTTCACTTCACTGTAACTAAAAAAAGGAGGAGTCCACGGATATAGAGGGATATGCAATAATACAGTAGAAAAATACATACAAGAACAAAGAGGAAAATTTGTTTCATACCTCCAAAAACTTCACTGCAATGTACACTCAACACCATGTTCTTTCACCAACAATCCACTCCACTAACACAACTCAGTGCCACAACAACCGCACAACTTCGATCTCCCCGTCTCACTCTGCTACTCGGCGATCCTCCATCACGCGATTCGAAACCGAAACTAGAACCCACCAGAACGGAACCACCGTCTTTCTCCACCATTCATAGTCATTCAAGTTCAACAAAGTGTCCTTCTTTCTCCGTCGATCTTGGGCGTCATACACAGAACCTCATATATGCGGCCAACGCACCACTTCATGAATGCCCAACAGCCTCGCGCACACCTTCTGATCGCAGCCCTCATCCCTCCGGCCCTTCACTCCACTCTGATGAAGCAACCACGACGTTTGACCAGCGAAGCCCCCCGTCTCCGTCGTTTTTACACAACCTACTGAGCAGATCCTCTCTCGCGATGTCACCAAAAACCCCATCAGAAAACACTACAGATTTGACTCATCGTCGGAGTTGGGTTTGCCTCATCCTTTTCTTTTTTTCTTTTTTTTATTGTTATTGTTTATAGTTTGTTTTATTTGTCAGGAGATATGAGAATTTGAAATAGAGATAAGAAGATGAAATACAGAGGAGAGAGGGGAAGATTCACGGAAGGTGAAGGAGAAGAGAAGAGATTTTATTTGTTTTCTCGTTTCTGATACTATTATTTCATAGGTTGTTACTGTTATTATTATTTTTTTATTTATTAAATCTGAAAGCCACGTGTTAATGATGTATTGGCTTAAAATTGGTTTAGTCTAAATTTTCATACACCCAGTGAAAATAGCATAACTCGCCCGTTTTCCCAACTTACCCAACCCATTCTTCCTAGTTCCAAAACCTTGTAGCTCATACGAATTATTTACCCCTTTTATCTGTTTGATACCCCCTTTCTATTTATTTTTATCTTTTATAATTTTATTAATTTAATTTAATTAGTAAGTTTAATCAAATAAGTGTGTAGTTCTAACTAGACAAATTTTAATAATTAGACTAATTTTTATTAGTTTAAGTTTAAGATTAATTTAGTATTATTTTTTGTTAGATTTACAAACTTTTAGAGTTTTAATTTAGTTTAGAATTATTTAGTAACTACATAATTCCAATTTAGTTTAAATAACTTTGATGCATCTCTCTTTTACATTTAATCTTCATATCTTCAATCGATTTCCTTATTGTTTATTTGTCTTTGTATCTTTGTTTACTCGGAATTTATTTTGTTGTAATTTTCATTCTTGTGGATTCTTTGAGTATTTATATTTTAATATTTATCTTATTTTGTTTATGCCTACTCCAAGGGAAAGAACTAAACTTGTTGACTTCATGTCATCAAATATATCTTATATGATTGTGTGAATCCCTTCATACATTTTTTAGTTTTGTTAATCTTAAGTTGAATCTCCTAAAAAATGTATTTTTAAAATTACCCTCTCTTAAGTCGAAACTTCGACATTAGGTCGTGGCATTTTAAAATCTCATCCCACATTCATTTAGAAAACAAATAATTTTAACCAAAAAAACAGATATTTCAAAAGGTCCTTGCGGAGTACTTCAGATGCATTGGATGCTAGTGCCTTCCCTTTGTATAACCAACCCCCGAACTTTCGTTCTCTTTCAAAAAATGCATTGTATTTTCATTACTTTTAAGTATTACTTTACATTGCATATTTAAGGGTTTTATTTCTCTCTTTTCTCTTTTCCCTTTTCATTACTTGGTGGCGACTCTTGCTTTTGCGAGTCGAGTTAATTAATAGCTTGATATCTGATTTTCACCGCTACATTAGTGTTTAGGTTCCATGATTGTGTTTTCTTGATTTTCTCTCTATTTTGCTTTATTGGGGTTTTTCCCATTGATGAATTGTTTGATGCATTTTGTGTGTTATTGGTGAAATTTGATGATGTATATTGAATGGAATTTATAAGAAATGTTGATGAATAATGAGTATAATTAAAAGATATTGTTTTGATTGAAATATTGGAAATTGGAGTTCTGAAACATGGATTTTTGTAAATTAAAAAATTGTAGATTTTTGAACTCTACATTAGGTGTAACCGATTACTGAATGGGAGTAATCGGTTACCCTTTGCAATTTTGGGAAAGATGGGAAAAAACGTGAACGTGTAACTGGGTACGGTCTGGGTGGGAATCGGTTACCCAACTGGACAGTAGCGTTGTAATTTTGAATCATAGGGGTGTAACCGGTTACCCTCCTGGCAGTTACCGGTTACCACTGAAATGTCAGATTTTTCAAAAATTGTATATTGCATAACTTTCGCCTTGGGCATCCGTTTGACACGCCATTTGGATTGATGGGAAGATAAAATTATTTTGTATCCTATACAAATAAATTGGAACATAATAGCTAATTATTTGACCAACATTGATGCCTATCTGTGCATATTCCTATGTAATGTTCCACGAATTGTGTTATAGTTGAGTAAGATGATGTTGTATGAATAATTCGATTGTTTTGCATGATGTATTGCATGATAATGATGATGACAATGGCCTGTATTAGTGTTGCATTGATGAGTAAGAATAATTAATGTAAATTACGTTGTTGCATGTCAATGTCGCATGCATTAATGATAACATGGCCTGTATTGGTGAGAGATGACCTGTATTGGAAAAAGATGTCTTGTATTGGTGTTATGATGTTGTTGTCCTAAGTTGGCATTATGATGAGGGTTCTACCCTATTGGTACCACATGTATTGAGTCATTATTGGTCTCATTGCATTAAATTATGATTTATAACTTGATGTTTGATGTTGAAAGAGTATGAGTTATATTTTGATTAGTGTTATGTGTTGTGTGCATAATTGGTTATATGTTAATGTACTATATGGTATGATAAATGAAGTAAAGGTGTGAGGTAAATAAGTTTAATTATGCGTAGTTAAATTTCTATCTACTCGTTATTATGCTTTTTTATATTGCTATGATATCTCACCACTTCTGTTTGAATGTTGCCTCTATGTGGGTAACGTGCATATTATCTGAAGTAGCTTGAGGTCAAGGTTAGTTGAGAAGTGCCTCATTTTGCGTAGATTGAGTCGGTGTCAGCTCTGATACATAACACATGGGGGTTTCCCGCTTGTTTTATTATGATGGGATTAAACTATTGTAGAACTCCATTTGTTGGATTTTAATTGATTTTTTATGTTGAATTTTGAATTATGATAATTATCACTTATGTTCAGAATAATTACTAGCGATGTTTTCCGCTGCGAATAAATGAAACGAAGTTCAGACATAATGAATAAGTAACTATGTGTTGCATATATTTTTAGATGAGCATGTATGATGTATGAAGATGTGGCATCCTATTCTTGATGTTTTATTTTATGAATTTATTTACTCTAATTTTTGGTTAAATTACTGACGGGAAATAGGGTGTTACATTAGACATTGTCTTGATGAGATTCACATGGAGAAAAATGTGTGTGATAGTTTGATTGATACACTTCTAAATATTACAGGAATGACTAAAGATAGTAAGGATTCTCGTCTTGATATGGAGGCGATGGGTATACAAAAACAGTTGGCTCCAATGGAGAAAGGAAAAAGAACTTATCTGCCTCCAGCATGTCACACTCTATCTAAAAAGAAAAAAAATTTCTGCGAGTGTTTGAAGGTATTATAGTTCTGTAAGGTTACTCATGAAACATAAAGAAACTTTTATCAATGAAAGATCCAAAGTTAATTGGTTAAAAATCTCATGATTGTCATTTATTGATGCAACAACTTCTACCAGTGGCTATCCGTGGGATCCTACCAAAGAATGTGAGAGTAACTATAAAGAGATTTTTCTTATTTTTCAATGCCATATGTAATAAAGTTCTTGATTTCAAAAATTATATGAATTAGAAGATGATGCTTCATTAATCTTGTGTCAATTTGAGATGTATTTTTCTCCATTATTTTTTGACATTATGGTTAACTTAATTGTTCATCTAGTCAGAGAAATTAGATTTTGTGGTCCACTTTATTTAAGGTGGATGTTTCCAATAGGGTGATATATGAATATCTTTAAAGGATATACGAAGAATCATCACCGAATGAATGCTTCGATTGTTGAAAGGATCATTATTGAAGAAGTTGTTGAGTTTTGTTCAAACTATTTGTCGGAAGCAGATTCTCTAGGCATTCTAATGTCTCGTCACGCTAATCACACAAATGAAAGATTTATTGAAGGTCTAAATGTTATGTTAATGGCTCGGGATGTAGTTATTCAAGCATATTTCTATATATTGAATAATATAAATGAAGTTTAACCTTTCATAGATACTCACAAAAGACTTTTGAGGAAAAAATATCCCCAAATGAGTGATAAGTTGTTGTTGATAGAGCATAACAAGAGATTCATAGTTTGGTTTAATAAAAGTGTATTTAATGATCTTAGTGCATCCAAGATACTTAAATGTTTATCGTACGAGCCAAAACTTTTTGTCATTACTTGGATTGCATACGACATTGGTCATTATACCTTTTATACAAAATTAAAATATGATCATAGTACAATGCAAAATAGTGGGGTTATAGTTGAATCCGAATCGATGTATTTCTCTAGTTCGAAAGATAAGAATCTTGTATTGGAAACTACTATGTTTTATTGTGACATTGATGAGATTTGGGAGATTGATTATGTTATTTTTAAAGTGGGTTTATTTAAATGCAAGTTGGTTCCCAATAATAGTAATGGTGTACACATTGATAACATAGGATTCACCCAGGTCGACCTTGGCAAGGCATCTTTTATGACCGAACCATTCATCATGGCTTCTCAAGAAAAACAAGTTTTCTATGTTACCGACCCATCAGACATATTAGGGAAATGGTAAATATTTCTACAAGGAAAACACATTCCTCTTAGTGATGAAAGTCTTGATATTCCATACACACCTTGTTAGACAACGGAAGTTCCTACCTCATTTGATGAAGTTGATGGAGATGTTGTCCATGATTTTCGAATTGATCATGAAGAAGGCATTTGGGAAAATTAACAGGTACGTAATTTATTCTTTATTCATAATATATTCATGATTGTTATAGTTTGCAAGTATTTTTACTAACAAGTATAATCATTTAAAATTATAGGTCTTTAGAGTCAAGACACCAAAATACCAAGTTAAAATTATGTGATGTTATGTATTGTGTAAAATGTAGATTGTTTGTTTTGATAAACTGTAAGATGTTTGTTATCGTACAATTGAATATGATACAATTATGTGATATTTTGAAAAATAAGATTAATTATAAAATCAGGATAATATATCTTAATTATGCATAAATTTTAATGGTTATGGTCATAACCATTATAATATCTCGCGCGCTGTCCAGAAAAGAAAAAAAATCAAAACGGCGCATCTGGGAATCGAACCCAGAACCACTATACTTATCACAACGGTCTTTTGGAAAACCATTGTGATAAGGAGTTCGCTTTCTAGTTTATTACAACAGCTACTGGGCCGTGATTGTAATTATCATATATTCAATGACAGTCTACATCACAACGCCTCGGCCCACATTGTTATATATCTTTCCCAACCATT